GTATCAGAGGAAAATAGTTATTATTAACAATATCACTTGTACTGGACAGTTGTCCAGCCATCTTGGTCACCGCTCTCCGGTGGGCGATCTCGTCCACGTCTTGAAGCTGACCATGATTTACCTACAACGTAAAAGCACCTGATAAATATTCTGTTACAGTAGTTGACGATGGTACAGKGTTTTTTAAACTACARAGAAGGGGAAAATGCATTTATTGCAGAGCTCAATTTGCTCGAGTGAATAATCAAGAGTGACACTGATCCWATTATTTTGCGGAGTTCTTACCTTCTGGACGAGATCTACTTGAATCCTCTGAACGATCGTCACGACCACGCCAAGAGTCGCGTCCACCATCACGCTCCGGTTCAGGTTCACGACTTCGCCATCCTCCACCTCCTCCACGGTCCATTCCTGCGCGATCAAATCCCCTGTCTCTGTCACGTTCAAATCCCCTGTCGCGGTCACGGTCAAAACCACGGTCACGGTCAAACCCACGATCACGTTCAAATCCCCTATCTCGGTCACGGTCAAATCCCCGGTCGCGGTCACGATCAAATCCTTTGTCGCGGTCGCGATCTCGGTCAAATCCCCGGTCGCGGTCGAAACCGCGGTCACGATCAAATCCCCTGTCGCGGTCATATCCTCGATCGCGTCCTGAGTCACGCCAGCCACCACCTCCTCCTCCTCCTCCATAACCTCTGTCTCTTTCACTGTCTCTGTCACGCCAAGAGCTGCCACTGTCACGCGGAGGCCCACGAGAGTCTCTTCTCCAGTCCCCTTCATCACGTTTATCCATGTCTACAGATAGAAAAAAATTCAAAATATAGATATTAATTATCATACAGTAAACAAAATCTAAATAAATATAAGTTTATTAGATACTGGGAGTCGTTGCCGAATGTGCCTTGTACACTAGCTCTACAGTATTACCTATAGTACCTAACACTCACAACCTCTAGATCAAATGTTCTAGCATACAACAATACAGCTAGATTTTGTCATCATTAATCAATCGATGGATCCGGTTTGTTATTTGCGTGTGTGTACCTCTTCGGTTATAATCATCACGTGGACGGTCACCTGATCTCCTCCACGGGCCATCGTCATCACGTCGTGGTGGACCTGGTTGAAACAGAAAGAAAACAATGAGCACCTCGATAGAACGAAGGATTTCACAAAATACACTATAACAAATAATAATTAAAAAGCYTTTTTGAATGCAAAAACAAGAATCTTAATGTAGTCTTTTATTCTMCGAGGCCGCAATTTTCTTGTGCAAAGTCAATGAGCCAAAATGTCAGCCATTAGTAATAAACTGGTGTCATCAACTAAATTACACAAGCACCAACCGCCGAATTGTTGAAAATTTTAAACGTCATGAATTTCGTCTGGGATAGTCAAACACCAACGCAAAGGACGATACCATATAATGATTGTGAACGATTAGTCGTATGACAAACCCAGGACTGTGTGCTAACAGTGTAAGTTRAGAGATGTAGGTATACTTACCATCGCGGTCCATACCACCAGATCTCCATGCTCCGCCATCACGATCACCCATTCG